CTGCATGCAGTCTTCTTGCAACTGACTTTTATTATTTTTATATGTTAAATTTTTATCCCACCTTTATTGTTTTTATAAATGACACAAGGTGACAAACACATAAAAGTGTTTCTTCTTCCTGGTTTTCCCAGGTTGAATTGAGAGAGAGTTGACTGGCCCAAAGTCATCCAGCTGGCTTTCATGCATAAAGTGGGATTAGAACTCACAGTCTCCTGGTGATTGGCAGCCACCGAATCGCTTTCATGCCTGAGGCCAGACTACATTCTTCTGGTGATTGGCAGTCACCTAGCCAGATTAGAAATCAGTCTCCTAGTGATTGGCACAAAGTCACCGAGCAGACTTTCATGCCTAAGGTGGGACCAAACCTCACAGCCTCCTGGTGATTGGTGCAAAGTCAGCTGGTTTTCATGCCCAAAGTGTGACTGGAATTCACAGTGTCCTGATGATTGGCACTGTTGGAAGAAATATCCTCCTGGGTTCAGTTCCAAGTGGAGAAAAAAACCCTGGAAACATGGAGACTGTTTGGAAAAATTGTTTAATGGTGGACAGGACCACATGGCTTGGAGCTCCAAAGTGAAAAGGACGATCACATCCTTCAAGATGTTGGGTGAAGGAAAAGAAAATGGAAGAGATGCTGACAGTTCCTGGGTTTTATGCCCTCTTTTGGGATTTGAATTTGAACTTGTATTCTGATTGGTTGTCAGACTCCCATGGGGCCATGCAGGGGCAACTCTGTAGGCTGCCCTGAGTCCCAGGCTTGGTTGAGCCTTTGCTGGGTGATGACGTAATGAAAGGGCTTTGGGCAATTCCTATTATAACTCTACCTGGAGTAGATCTTTGTTATGTAAAATAGACTGGCCCAGGCCAGAGTAATGGTCTATTAGCAAAGGGGAGTTGGTGGGCTGAGTTTCTGCATCTTTGAGTTTCTACTTTTCTTTTTAGAGGAAATATTCTGCCTTTTTAATATTTCCTAGGGTATTTCATTTTTCTAGGAGAGGGGCGGGTGCTAACTTCCTACAGCACAAAGTCACCTAGCCAGCTTTCATGCCTAAGGAAGGACTAGAATTTAGTTTTCAGGTTTCTAGCTTGGGGTGTTAATCACTAGAGTAGTCCAAAGTGGCTTATATGCATGTAAATTGAGCATATAACTTTGCTCAATTTATGAAAAGGACCTCAATAAGTCAAACATGTTTTCAGGGTACTTCAGCAAAAATATATAATTTTCAAATATTGGGAACAAATTGTTCTTCTCTGTTCTGGCCCGGTCAGATTTTTTTCCTCAAAGACTGCTTCAAGTTCTGGGCTCCACATTTTCCGAAAATGTGGTCAAAGTAGAACAGGTTCATAGAAGAGCAAGAAGCATGATGATAGACTAGGACTAGACTAACCAAGTCCTGTGAGAAGAGGTCAACATTGCTGGCTGTGCTCAGCCCTGAGAAGGAGAAACTGAGGGGGAATATGATAGCATGCTTTTAATATCCATGAGAATATCTATGAGTGAAATGTATGAGCCCTTCTCTGCCGTGCAGGGCACAGAACGCAGTATAAAATGGGAGTAAATTCCATTTGAACCACTTCCTAACAGCAAAAGCAGTTCAACAGTAGGGCTGCTGACCTACAATGGGGATATGTTCAAACAATCTTCTGTCACGGATGCTTTAATGTGGATCCCAGGGCAAGTTTTTGGACTCAGTGGCTGAGATGGCCTTTTCCTGCTTCACAGGCCGCTGGTTTTGTAAATTTAGTTGGATTATAGTTGTTATTTTCATTTGTTTTCATTGTCATCTCTGATCTACCTATCGAGCTGCTTTAGAAAGCATAGAACATTTAACAATCCTAGCAGAGGTGGGTATTCAGCAGGTTCTGACCAGTTCTGGAGAACCAGTAGTGGAAATTTTGAGTAGTCCGGAGAACCAGCAAATGCTACCTCTCACTGGTTCCGCCCCCATCTATTCTCTGCCTCCCGAGTCCCAGCTGATTGGCTGGGTCTTCTTTGGTTGCCCTGCACAGGAGAACGGAGCTGGAAAGCAGGTTAGTGGGGTGGGGTGGGCAGGGAATGGGGATTTTTCAGTATCCTTCCCTTCCCATGCCCACCAAGCCACGCCCATAGAACCAATAGCAAAAGTTTTTGAATAGCAGCAGTTTATCCTAGGGTTCATTATTCTATCTCCAGCAATCTTCATCTTTTAGGCTTCTTTCCTTCACATCATTAGTAATGCTGGCTCTTTCCTACCAATATAGGATATCCATGATCTCCTTAGCAGGCAGGCAAATCATCATACAGTTAACATACCCATCATCGCTCACCAATTCATGTCTATCAAGAATCCACCCAGGTTTAGCCTAAACGCTAAAGATTTGTTTATCCTCTTCAGAATAGACTCCTTCTGAGAGGGCCTTTCCCTCTTCCGTGGACTGACTACCAAAAAGCCAAAAAGCCACTGGGTAGGATGTTGCTATTTAACTCCTGAAGATCATTTTGAAACCAGCCTCTGGATCTCTCTGAGTTTTAATAAGTTGCCTTTGAAGAAAACAAGGTTTACAAGCCATAGTTCCTTGGATTTACCTCCTTTACTAAATCAGTTAAACAGAATTGGAAGGGGCCTAGTAGGTCATCTAGTCCAACCCCCCACACCCAAGCAGGAGACCCTACACCATTCCTGACAGATGGCAGTCTAGTCTCTTCTTGAAAGCTTCCAGTGAGGAAGCTCCCACAACTTCTGAAGGCAACTTCTGTTCCATTGGTTGATTGTTCTCACTGTCAGAAAGTTTCTTCTTACTTCCAGGTTGAATCTCTCCTTGTTCAGTTCCATCCATTATTCCTTGTCTGGCCTTCAGGTGCCTTGGGGAAAAAAAAGGTTGACCCTCCTCCTCTCTGTGGCAGCCCCTCAAATATTGGGAAGAGCTGTCAAATATTATTTTTTTTATTTTAGCTTTCATGAAGATGGATTTAGCTAGAATTTTTTGCAAGTGCTCATTCCTCCTCCCCTGAGAGTTAAAAACATAGCAATAAAAAATAAATACACATTTCCCCTTTTAAATGTCATGACGGTCATTCAGAAGCAAATCCTCAGACAACCATTTATCTGAAATGGTACAAGTAGTCCTCAACTTACAATAGTTCATTTAGTAACCATTCAAAATTACAACAGCGCTGAAAAAGTGACATGACCATTTTTAAACACTTATGAAGTGTGGCTCCAGTTGACTGTGGAGGAAACTGGCGAAGGGAAAAGTCCGGCTGGGCAGAGCAGGGGAGAGGTAGAACAAGAGAGAGGGAGTTCAGAGGAAGACCTAGGCCCATCCCCTCTTCATCCTAGGGCACACAGGGAAGAATGGAGAAGAGAGCAACGTGGGTTGTGTGGCTTATGTGGGAGGAAAGGGTCCTGATTCCCTTCATTAGCCACACCTGGGATGAAAGTTTATAAGAACTGAATGCTGACTGCGGCAGCTGCTGGGAACAAATGTGACATTATCCTGTGTTGGCTTATCTGTGTTCCTGGCATCTTCCCAACCGTGTGAGTTTTGCCATGCCTTCACGTCTGGAATTCCTGCTCCCGCTTTGCCAAACCAATTACCTCAATTTGGCTTGATTGGACTTAAAGTTACAGTTTGTGTTGACCATGTTTTGGACTTAATTCTCTGCAGTCAAAGTATGTTCTTGGGAGAGTTTTTCTCCAGCCAGAAGGTAACCTCGACATTGCGGGCAAAGTTGGAGCTAATAAAGGGACTCTTATTGATTATCTGACTGTGTTGCCTTTGTGCCACGCCCCAGGTCGTCACAGGATCAAACTCATTTAACAAATGTCTCACTTAGCAACAGAAACTGGGCTCAACTGTGGTTGTAAATTAAGGACTACTTGTATAAGGTTTGCTGCCTGAGCTGGGAGTTGGACTAGAAGACCTCCAGGGTCCCTTCCAAATCTGTTATTCTGTTCTTCCTGAGATTGGCCTGCTTTGTGCATAATTATTTCTGCCTTCTGTCCTTATCCCCGCAGGGCAAAAGCAACCTCCTTGTCTAAAGAAAGAGCTCCTTTTTTAATAAAAGGTTTTTCTTTATTAAACAAACAAACACAAACATAAACAAAAAATACAATAAAAATGTTGAACATGGTACAGTCTTCCTAACATCGACCTTTGTTTTTACTTTGCTAAGTCCAATAATAATAATAATACACAATTCCATATACATTAAATATACATATAATCATTCCTTATTCTCTTGAATCTTCCTCTTCTCTAGCCAACCATAAAATTCGTCCCATATTTTCTAAAAGTCCAAATCCTCCTTATTTTTTTAATTCTTTTGTTAGTTTATCCATTTCTGCGCACGTCATACTTTTGCTAAGTATTTCAAATTCATTTGGAGTATCCTTATTTTTCCATTACTGTGCATATGCCAATCTTGCTGCAGTAATTATATGGATTATTAGGTTAATGATTTCCTTATCCTATTTCCTCATATTAATCCCTAACAGAAAAAACTCTGGTGTATGTTCTGTTTTCGTCCCACATATTTTTTCCAGCCACTTAGGTAATTTATGCCAATATTTTTGGGCATAAATCTCTGCAACTCCACCACAAATGATAATAAGTTCCTTTTTCTTTAGTACATTTCCAGCATGTGGGGGGGAAAGTTTTGAATACATTGTTGCCAATCTCAATGAAGGTATGTGCCATCTATAAAATAATTTGTACAGATTTTCCTTAAACGGTATAGCTAAAGTCATTTTTTAATTTCTTTTCCATAATAATTGCCAATTGTCTAAATTAATGCTATACCCCAAAATTTTCATCCATACCACCATCGTTTCCTTTACTTTTTCTCCTTCTAATTTAAATTCCAATAAGACTTGATAGATTTTTTTTTTTATCATCTTCTCCTGGGTTCCTAATAACATTTCATCTAATTTTGTCTTAGTTCTATAATTCCCCAGGCAAGAAAGAGCTCCTTGATTGGCTAATGTTTTCTTCAGAAAGGGTCCAACACCTGTTGCTGTATATTACAGCTGTGTGAATTGAAGAGGGAGAAGGAGAAGGCAAGTAATCCAGGCGACAAGTCGAAGACCAGACGGGTGCGATTTGAACCCTGGTATGCCGCGGACGAGCAATAATTCGGGGCTCTGCCTTTAAAAGGGTACATTATATCTACCTATGCATGTGGGTTTGAGCAACACCTCAGAGCCGCAACTACTGAGGACCGTGTGGGTCCATGATCTGCAAGCTGGGTTCTTGTGGTTCCCCCAGGCTGACGGAGCAACGTTCGGCTGTAGTCCAATTCGGCTGCCTTGCATGGTTTTGCCTGGATAGGAAAGGAAACTATTTTTGGATGACTCTTTGATGTTGAGTCAGCAGCAGCCTCTGTGAAGCCCCATTTCGGCTCCCTGGGAGCTGCTGCCCTTTGCTGGTTTAGGCGAGAAATTAAACACAGCAATGAAGGTGGAAAGGTATTTTCTTTTATGATTGAAATGCCGGTTACACTAACTTTAGTGGGCTTAAGTGGGCTTTCCCTTGCTAGTTAAAAGTGAACAGCAGGTGAACAGTTTGGGAGGGGATTGGGTAGGGTGGGGGAGAACCTGCCTGTTTGCAAGCCAGCTAATGGGTTTAGAGAAAAGGCAGGTGGTATTTTACTCATATTTAGTAGCAAAGGTTATTGTTATTATGGACCTGTGTGTAGCAGAGAGCCTTGCTTGGATGCTGTATGTCTTTCTGTAGAGATCCATTGCCCACAAGGACTGTGTAAATCCCTTGAAAGCAATTGGTTGCATAGACAAAGTGCCTGCAGAGCCTTACTTTTTGAGTCCAAGCAGTTGTGTCTTTTCTTTTTTTTCTAGGCTCACAGAGCTGCTTCCTAATTGTAAATTACAACTGATTGTAGCTCTAATGGTCAGAGTTGTCTCGGACAAATCTGCCATCTAAAGTTGATTTCAACTGATTTGAAAAAAGGTCCCTCTGTTATTTCCAAAATCCTACTGCCTCCCCTTGTAGGATTCTCGTCTGTGGCAGGGTGACATTTCTGTTCACAGAAACTAAACTGCATGGAGTTTCCAGACATATATATATGAATTAATTATGCTGACACTATAGCAGTGTGCAGTTGTATATGCATTGCAATTCTTAGATGGTGGGCAGGTCTTATACAGGTTGTGCTACAATAAGGGTGTCAAACTCGATTTCGTTGAGGGACGCATCAGGGTTGTGTTTGATCTTGGGGGCCAGGTGGATGTGGCCATGGTGGGCGCGGCCAGCTTGACGTCACTTGTGTTGGGGGTACCTGTAATGACGAGCACTCTGCAAGCAAAATGGGCTCCCAAGCTCCGTTTTCGGCTGCGATGACCTCTTGCAGCCATCTGCCAATGAAAATGGAGCTCGGGGGGGAGCTGAGCCCCCCCAGGCCCCATTTTTGGCTGCGACTGTCTCCTGCAGCCCTCTGGGAGATCTGTTTTCTCTGGCAGAGGGTTGCAGGAGACCGTCGTGGCTGAAATCAGAGCCTGGGAGGGCTGCTCACAGCCCACCCAAGCTCCATTTTCCCACTGGCAGAGGCACTGTGGGACGGTCCTTCACTGTTTCCAGGGCAACCCTGCGGGCGAGAGAACTAAGCACCCTGTGGGCCAAATCTGGCCCACAGGCCTTGAGTTTGACACCCCTGTGTTAGAAGGACCTTCACTGAGGAGAGAACCAGCAAGACTCAATCTGTGCTCTTGAAATCATTGGTTTGTTAGCTCTGATAAAGAACCACAAAGGTGGTTAGACATGGACATCCTTTTCTGTCTTCTACTCTGTAAGACAAATGTCCTGGTGAGGTGAGATTGGACTTCCCTCCCCCCAAATTCCCATCCTAATCCTCCAATCAAGACCTAATTACTAATTTCTCACAGAAGATGCTGCCAACAAATCATCATTCCAGGGCATTATCGAAGTGTTAACAAGCAATTAGATCCTGTCCCTAGGACTCCTCGAAGCATTGCTCTATGCTGATAGGTGATAAGCCCACCAGGATCCAAGAGAAACCTCCCTCAAACCTAAAACTCACCATCTTTCTTCTCTATGATACTTCACTCTAATCTGTCTGTTTCTGCAAAGATAAAGCCACTAAGCTGGGATGTCTGTAGTTATAGTAAATGCAAAAAGAGGATAGCTGTACATGAAATGCATTACGGTCTACTAGAACAGTGGTTGCCAATCAGTGGGCCAGGGACCACTGGTGGTCCATGAGAAAATTTTGATGGTCCGCAGAGAAATGTCACCCCCAAAGCACTCCTCAAAGCAATTAATCCAGGCTGCGCAGGAACACAAGGCTGTGCTGCCCACATGGCCCGTGGGAACACAAGGCTTGCGTCACTTGCATTGCGAACAACACAAGGTAGTGAGGGGAGAGGGGAAAGGGCGGAGGGGGGAACTTGCCCCATTCACCCCACATGTCTCACCTGGCTATTGGGCTGCTTCTTTCCGCTTCTTTCTTCTTTTGCTTTTGGCTGCAACAAGGAAAGCAGCAAAAGTCTTTCTTTATCTCCCTCAAACTCCACCAGAAACGAGTCTTTGGGACCCTGCAAGGCCTCCTGCTCCAAGAGGCTGCACCGGCAAAGACTCATTTCTGGCAGAGTTTGTGGGAGAGAAAGACTTGTGCTGCTTCTGCTGCTTTCCTTGCATGAAGCCGGAAGTCTCTCTCTCTCTCTCTCTCTCTCTCTCTCTCTCTCTCTCTCTACCCCTGAGAACTGAGCTGGAGACTGTAACCTGCGATCCCAAATAAAGAATGATTGATCGATAGGAAAACAGGGTGGGGAATTTTCCTGCAGACATTTTTTGGAATTTTCCCAGGGTCTCTGGTCTGCGGGATTTAAAATTATGAGTTTGGTGGTCCCTGAGGTCCAAAAGGTTGGCGACTCCTGTGCTAGAAGTCTTTTTTGAAGGCCTTCCAATGAGATATTTTCATTGGCTGTTTCCTCATTCTGGAACCAAAGTTCTTCTCTGGGCATGTATAAAGCACCATCTTGCCTTTTTTTTAAAAAAAACTGTTTTGCTCCAAGTTTTTATTTAGAACATTAGCTAAATACTGTGTTTTTGTTTTGGTAAATACATAAAATATGTTTTAATGTTGTTTTTCCTCAACACAATCTCTGGAACGGAGGAGAAGAAAGTTATCTGTTTTGTTAATTTAATGCTAATTTAATTGAAGGGTTTACATCTCACCTTTCAATCAGAATTTTCAGGATGGCTTGGAAAATGTTCCAAAAATATTACAGAAGATTAGAAGCGTTGAAATCTGTAGAAGTGCCCTAACATTCTTTAAAAAAAAAATGACGCCCAAATAAAGTAGATAAATTTTAGTTAAAGGAACTGGAAGATAGATAGATAGATAGATAAATAGATAGATAGATAGATAGATAGATAGATAGATAGATAGATAGATAGATAGATAGATAGATAGATAGATAGATA